GGGGGGGAGAGACCTGCAAGAGAAGTTGAAGGGTGTTGAGCTCGCGATCTTTCTCCTTGACAAAGAGGCTGCAGATGCGCCTGTCCCTGAGCTTGTGGAGAGTCATAACTCCAAAAACGGCAGCACTAAATGCGAGCAGCAGCAGAAGTCCATATGATCTTCCTTTGCTTCCTGTGTTTTTACTGTGCCTCATGCTTTTGCTCTATGTCCTTCAGGAAATGTGTAAAGAGTTGTGGGCAAACAAACAAGAATGGCCTTACTAATTAGCTCTTTCAGTAAAATATAATTCTTATGTATTAGAGGTAGAGTGCTGCTTGTCATTCAAAGTGCTCTCACACAGAAGAGCCACACAAATGGTGTAATTCTGGTTTATAAAGGAACTAAAGAAGAGTAGCGAAAAAAAGGAGATTTTTTGAAGAATACATGTGCATGGCATGGGGACTGTGTACAAAGGGCAGCTCATTCTGCCCAATTTTTTTCTTTTGAAGTCAATCATTCTGCATCTCTTGCGGTATAGGTTAGAGTTTCCTATTTGAAGGCAATGCAGTTTTCCATGCGTTACAATATTTTTGTAATTCGCACATACTCTCCTTTGTCCAATATTTGGAAGAGTAAAATGATGGGAATCTGTAAATCTCTGGATCATTTATTGCTGCGCACTTAAAAAATCGAATACAACAACAGCTATGCCTCATTAATCCTAAGCAAATTGAGGATTAACTATATGAATTCTCACGGATTATGCTACAATGAAATAGGTATGTAGTTGTAATACAATTACCATTGTTTGCATCAAATCATTGATAGTACATACCATTAATCTTCGACACAAACTTTAATCACCAAACTAATAATTAATTATATGTATACTTTTGTACTTTCAAGGTTAAATATTTGGTTTGATGTAAATATCATAGGTGAATAAGTCTTCTTTGGTATTTTCCTCCCTCCCCCCTTCTGTTTTTCCAAATTCGTGTTTGTTGATTATGCACTGAGCGATAGGTCAAAAGGTTCGGCCTTATATTTAGGAACAAGCAATTTATCTGGACTATCTACTTGTTTCAGTACTTCACTGGACTTTTGGTTGACCTTTATTAAGGATTAGAATTGGGAGGGAGCAGTAACTTAAACCCAAACCTGAAGCAAAGATATGGTTGAGTAGAACCAAACTGATCTCATACAAAAGCCTAACTTCACTCTCAAGTATAAATCCGTGGAACTATTTTGCTCCCTGCTGCCACTTGATTTTCTTTTTCCTTTAATATTTTTTACTTGAAAGCGATATTCTTACTTCACGTATTTATGAACTATCTTATGGTTCTTGAATTGAATGGTTGATTGTCTGATGGAAAGAAAGAAATGTAACTGCAACAACGAGTATGCTAATATATACTAGTATTGAGTAACAGTAAAGAGATTGCTATACCGAGTAGCAACACCTAAAATTTTGTGTGGGATTTTGCAATGCGAAAGTTGGAATCTTTATTATTCAGAACACATGTACAAGTTAGTTAAACAAGATCTAATTTGAAAATTATAAGAACTGTTATACTATCATAGATTTGATCAGAAAAATAATTTGATTTACTTAAGTAAGGTGCCTTACTTTATTGTTAAACATATATTTTTATTTCAAATTCTTGTAGCACAAATAATTTCACAGACACACAAGTTATTGTGATATATTTATGTGTGAAACGGAAATGGATATTTACGCAAATAGCTGGCAGGATTTAGTGTTTATTTTTCTAATCCGGTATACAAAGATTATACACTGATTATACACAAATATTAAGAGTATTAAGAAAAGGGGATTTTCCAAGAATCTAAAACCGCAATCCCTTTTGTGGGTCAAATACCTCCTATCTCTACCGTAGGTGCCAAAGAAGAATGAGAAAAAGCCCGAAAAAGAGCAAAAAGAGCATACTCTGATACAACAAACAGAATAAAACCATATGGAAGTCCTAATTGTATGACTTTGGTATGATGACGTTCTAATGTGGATTCACCTAGAGCATCACGCCACCATACGAACATGGTATATAGGATAAATATGAGGCCCAAACTGAGAAGTATGTATGTGTGTATGTATATATATATACACACTATATCCGGTTATTTTTGTTTAAGCAGTTAAATGGAAGGCTATTTAGGTTAATTTAAAGAGGAATTTTGAGAAATGACTATTGTTTAGTGGCTATTAACTTGCTATAACTACCATTTACTTAATTACTCCCTACAACTATATTTTTACTTGTTATAGAGTGTATTCGATGTATTCAAGCTACTGTATTCATGAATACAGTAGCAAAACTCGGCGAAAAACAAGGAAGTCCGGCTAAATATAAATTGTATTCATATGTATTCGCGGGCTGTATTCGTAAATTCAATAACGAAAATCTGCGGAAAAAAGGTCTGCAGCTGTTTAAAAACGGTAAGTGAATCAATTAACGCGATAGACTCCTAATATAACTCAATAAACTCAATTATAACACGCAAAATTTGTATTTCCGGTTATAGAAAAGATTCTCAATCGAAAAATACCCCCAAAACAGAGCAATCTTCAGAGATTCAATCCATCCTTTCTTTTTTTAGTGGTATCTTTATTAAAATATTTTTTATTGTATCTTTACAAATAGATTTATATATTGAAATTATATAATTACATTGAATACAGTTAAATACATACAATAAATTGAATACATGAAGTATAGCAGGTCATCTATAGTGCAAAACATATGAATACATACTGTAGATACATTTAAATACATATATACATTTGAATACATAAATTATATTAATTAAAGAAAACATATGAATACATTCTACAATATATTGAATACATACTGCTGAATATATACTGTTGGATAAAACAGTGAAATAGAGTGAAGCTTTGAAATTATATAATTACATTGAATACAGTTAAATATAGTGAATATATTGAAAAAGTAGAAAAAACTAAAGACAGTAAATACAATGAAATACATGGAATACAACAAGATACATTGAATACAATGAAAATAAATATCTTTTCCCTCAACTCTTGAATCATTACCATAAGTTTTCTTCTCTTTTCCGCATCAGGAAGTGTTAATTCTTTCGAAGATTTCTCAAATTGGGCTTGTTTCGATGTCGGGTAACCCTCTTGTGAGTTGTTGAATCAGCCCTTAGAGATAAAATTTCGAGTTTTCTAGTGAAAGCAAAACAATGGTGAAATTAAAAAATTGGTTGAATTTACATAAGAGAATATAACAAGAAAGAATGAAAATTTCTGATAAAAGGTGAATTAATTTACCTAGCGGTGAAGAACATTCCAGCACAAAAACTACCTATACAAAGAAAAATAGACCATTTTTGTGAAATAACACAGAAAAAGAGTCCATTTTTGTGAAATAACACTTCTTAATGGCGGTTCTGCCACTCCTCTGTTCTTGAAAGACATTTCCAATCTAATTTACTCTAATTCTCCTCGGCCAATCTACCTTTCTGGTTAAAACCCCTTATGCAAAACTCAAAGACAGAACCAAATCAAATAAAACCCCATACCAGCGAAAATCTAACAACTTTAACACTTACCACAACTTTTTGGAGCAAAAAAATTTGAAAATTTCACGAGACAATGGAGATGAATCAATGGAGAATCGTGGTTGTATTCATGGAGAAGAGACTGGCGTTGAGAGAGAGATATAGTGGAGAGAGATCATGGTTCCTGAAGTTGTATTATACGGTGGTCTTGTGAGAGAAAGAACAGAAAGTATGAGAGAGAAAAATATTACCAAGCGTATTTAATGGCTAAACGGGAGGAAGTGACGATAAATACATATTTTACTATAAAACCTAAAAGGTAGCTATAGAAAATAATATTTTAAAAGGATATTTATTTATAATAAACAGGGATGGCAATTTGAGTCCAAACTCATCCAACTCGCCCAGAGATTAATGGATTGGGCTATAAATATTTTAGGTCATGGGTCAATTTGGGCTAAGCCCAAGTTAACCTATTATTTTTTAGGAATTTTTACCTTCTATAGCAAAGGTTAACACCTTATTTATTTTAAATAAATATCATTTAAAAAATTATATTCTATAGATGCCTTTTAATGTTTATAGAAAAATATCTAATTTTGGTTAACTCCTACCCTTAAGCCACTAAACACGCTATTTTTTTATTTTTCTCTCTCCTTTTTCAGATTTTTCTCTCGCATAATTACCGTATTTCATATAAACTTCTCAATCCACGTTCTTTCTCTCTCTACTTTGATACACTTCATTCTCTTCCCCCATTCCATGTAACCACGATGCACAAAATCAGAATTCCTCTCACCCACATCGCCTAGTTCTTCCTCATTCTCAGTCTCAACCCTAATTTCATACACGCAATCTACATTGTATCTCTCAATTGTCGTTATTTTTTGCTATAATTAGTGTGTTAAGTATTTAACTTATTAGAATTTCGCTATTTTTATTTATTCTGAATATCTATACTCGCCAAGTTTTATGTATTCAACAGAAAACTTGAGATTTTCTCACAACGTCTGATTCAACATCCCACAAGTTGGTTATCAGAGGTATATCCACTAAAGTACTCAATTTCAATTGGCCCTCTTTCTCTTTGCAAATCACTCAAGGGGAATTGGATGCAGGTTCAGCAGCAAAAACGGCAGCGGAGAAAAGAACAAAATTACGCAATGACGATTTCAAACAAGCTCAAGTTGAGAAATCATTGAAAGAAACAAGACTTCCCGTTGCGGAAAAGAGGAAAAAACATATTGCTGAAGCTTCATGTGTCAAGGAAAAGGAGGTCGATTCAAGTAAAAGCTCGGATACACGGGAAGAAAAGGTAATTTTTGATGTATTCCTCTGTATTTCAGTCCTCATACACTGATTATTATATGTAGATGTATTTATATGTATATAAAGTTTGACTTCACTGATTTTTATGTATCTAGATACATTTAGATGTATTTAGATGTATTCAAAAAGTACATTCACTGTATTTTGTACTTATAGAAATCAGTGATAGAAATATGTTGATGTATTTATATGTATACAAATTTTGACTTCACTGATTTGTATGTTGCATAATGCATTTAGATGTATTCAAAAAGTTCATACACTGTATTTTGTACTTACTAGACTGACCTTTTCATATTGTATATAATTGTATTTATAAGGATTTTCAAAGTTCCCTTTACTGTTTTCTACTTATTGCAATGTCTTTTATTGTTGTACGTGGATGTATTATATATACACATCTATCTCTATCACTGATTTCTTAATCCAGTGTATTTTTGCATATTGTATTCAGTTGTATTTATATGTATTCAATATGGTTATACTATGAAATATGTATTGATGTTAACATTTGAAATCTTTTTTGTAATTCTTGTTGTATGCAGGAAATTAAGCTATTTGTGAAACAACAGCCTATTTTTTCACCGCATATCAGTTCATATACTAACACAAATATAGTCTCTGACCTCAAAGAAAAACTTAGTCCAGAGCAGTACAAACAACTAGGTAGTACTTGTTTTGGAAGTTTCCTTGAAATGAAGCGTTGTGAAGTCCAACA